CCGCAGGCCCGTTACCCTACCGCCTGCTCCGGCTCCTGAGCAGCCAGCGGCCACCGGCTCGGGCAGCGGCGCAGAGCGGATCAGCGCGCGCGGTGAGCACGACATTCCACGGGACCCGCCGAGCCGCGTCGGCTTCGTCGCTGGGCTCCCGCACCTCGACCTTCCTCGGCCTCCGCCCCTTCGGCTCGTCCCCCCGCGGCCTCCCGCGGGACGGCGTGACCCCGCCCGGGCTCTCGGTGCTCCCGGGGCCGCGCGCCATGGGCAGCCCCCGCTCCGCGCTGAGCTGCCTGTGAGTACCGCGGTCGCCCCCGCGTCCCCGTCGGCCCGCGCCCGCCGCGCCCTCTCCGCTCACCCCGCGCCTCTCTCCTGCCCGCTTTTGTCTCCCACAGGCTGTTGCACTTGCTGGTTCTCTGCCTCCAAGCCCAGGTAAGGAGCGCTGCGCAGAGGCGGGGGCCGGGCGCGGGGGACCCAGCTGACACTGTCGGGCAGGGACACGAGGACCGACCCTTCGGCCAGCGCAGCAGGGCTGGAAAGAACCTTACAAATCCAGCCCCAAACTACCCTGAGGAGGGATCTAAGGAACAGAGAGACAGTGTCCTGCCTAAAGTCACACAGCGAGTGAGTGGACAGACTAGAACCCCAGGGTCTTGAGCCCAGCGAGTCTCAAACGCGTGCCAGCCAGGTCGGGTGGATGGGAACTTTACCTGTAGCCGCACCCGGCCTCCTAGGAAAGGCGGGAGCTGGAGCCAGCGGGGGTTCCTTGTCAGGGGAAGTTGGGGTGTAGTTGTTGCAAAGATCCTCTCCGCTGCTCTCTGGGGAGACCTGTGGCCGGTTTCGGCCAGCGATCGTGTTAGTCTCGGCCCTTTGCACTCTCAACATTTGCTCCTTAAATTTGTCTTTATAAATGTCACGGGTCGGGTAGCGTTGCCTCGCTACTTAAAAGCACCCTGCTCCTCTAGGAAGGCCCGGGCGGGGGGCCTGCGCTGGGCAGGGAGCCCGCTTCCCTGCTCCGAGCTGGCCGGGAGCCCCAGGGTGTTTCCCAACAGGTGGGTCCAGATTCTCCCTCATCCCGGGTTTATCCATCCTGGGCTGGGTCTGCGAGACTTCCCCGCGGGGGTTGGTGGCCTGAGCCAGCATGTTGGGGGGATGCCCCCAGTCCCTGCTGGCTGCCTGGCGCGGCGGGAGGTGGGCACAAGGGCAGTGGGGACCACTCGGGACCCCTGGGCGGAGTAGCATTATAATGGCGTGCTGTGTATTTTTCAATTTCCTAAAGGTAACTGTTCAGTCCTCACCTAATTTTACACAGCATGTGAGGGAGCAGAGCCTGGTGACGGATCAGCTCAGCCGCCGCCTCATCCGGACCTACCAGCTCTACAGCCGCACCAGCGGGAAGCACGTGCAGGTCCTGGCCAACAAGCGCATCAACGCCATGGCAGAAGACGGAGACCCCTTCGGTAAGGCGCATTCCCCGGACGCTGCAGAGGAAAGGTAGTTGTGGCCCTCGCCGCCGCTCCCCGCCAGCTCTAGGCTGCCGTGGCCAGGGAGGCCTGCGAGCTCCCCAGCTGAGAGAGAGGCGAAGGAGTTAAGGCAAAAAGGTGTCTTGAGGGTCAGCTGGAGAGCAGGGTAGGTAGGGAACGCACTGGGGAGGATGTGGCCCACAGGTGCCCTCTCTTCCCTGCTCCTCCAATGAAGGACTCCAGGAGTCTCCCTTACAACCTCCCCCCTTCATACACCTCTTTCCAGCTGCAGGTGGAGGCAGAGGGTTCAGGGGAGGGGGCCCACATTGAAGGGAAGTTCTTGAAAGAGGATATGTCGCCAGGGCCCACAAAGGAGAGTGGGAAAAAGAAGGTAGAGAAGCCGCAGTTTGCCGGGCTTGGAAAAGGCGGATGATGCTAACTGATCAAGCGGGTCAGTTGCACACTGAGGCTGGGCCTGGGAGTTAGATTCCAGGCTCCAGTTGTGGACACCCCAGGGGGCTGAGTAGGCTGGCGGCTCCCGGGAGGGCTGCGGAGTACAGGGAGCTCCTGGGGCAGGGGCTGAGAACTGATTGCTTTCTAAAGCATTCAATATTCCTGTCTTGAGATGGGGCCCATTTCCAGAGTCCTGGATGTACCACGAGGAAGGCAAACCCTCTGGGTGGCAGGCGTTGTTTTTAGAGAGCGATTATTGTGAGTTTAAAAACCTTTAAATAATGACAACTTAAACAAGCATGGAAGGAGAGAGGAAGACTCTATTAAAATGTAATAAAAAGGTGAGGCATTTTAAGAGCTAAGAAGAAAAATGAATGATATAAAACAGAAAAAGAACCAGCCCCCCCTTTTTTTCAGATGTAGACTTTGAAAGGAGTTGCAAGTCTGTAAATGTTAAAAAAGGAGGCTAAAGATTGTTCCCTAGGAATCTCTGGAGAGACCCCTGCGTCTGGCAGAGCGATTAAAAGTCTTCTTGCTTTCACCTTTTTTAACATTTCCTGAATACTTTCTCCTCTTCTCGAGCCAGTTTGGGGGATCGAGTATGTCTCGCTGCATTTTTTCAGCATCGACGTAGCTGACTTCCCTTCAAAGCTGGAGGAGGAGACATAATTTTCCTGGGATAAATCTGTCACTGGGGTGGAAGAATAGGTTTGAAAATGTTAAGCTTTCCAAAAGCCTGCTTGGGAAAGCCGCTGTAAACTGCATGACCAGACTCCCCAGATCGATCGGGGGAGAGTGGGGGCTCTTTGGGTGGGGGTGGGGGTGGGGGGCAGCCTGCCTGGTGGCCGAGCTCCCCCGCTGGGCTGGCAGAGCCGGCCTTCAGGCCCTTTGTCCCTCCAAATTGGCTGCTTGCTGCCCTTCTCAGCTTCCCAACAAGAAAAAGGAAAGAATGGCTGGCCCCTCCAGAGTTTACTCTGCTGGAGCAAATGGCCTAGCATCCTTGGGTTTTGGGGTGGGGAGGGGAAACATAGCTGGCACTGAAGGAACTGATGCCCACTGACTTCCCTCAGACTCAGAGGAGGCTTCCAGGGTTCCTGGGGCTCTGCCTGCAAGGCAGAAGTCTGGGTCCTGGGGCTCCAAAAACAGAGACATAAAGTATAGAGACTGGGAAAGCGGTGGAGAGGTCCCAAGAAGGGGCAGAGGTACCCACTGTCATGTGATGCTGGGCTAGAATCTTCAGAGCAGGGTCCTCTCATCCCTTCCCTAGCCTGCATCCTTCCCTGGCAACTGCTTCTTGCTCTACCAAGTAGACATGAGAGGAATGAACAGCAGATTGCCTGGGTCTGAGAGGGGAGGTGAGCAGGAGAGGTGAACAGTTGCATTCCCCAGCTGACTTGGGGACAGACTGGGGACTTCTGGGTCCCACCTTTGCACCTGTGTGAAGAGAGGCAGTGTAAGAGGCTAGGCAGGGTGAGGACTTCATTGACGACCCCTGTGTCCCCACCCTTGGTATTGGTTTTAGAGAGACACATGCAGGCTTTCTCAAGGAGGAATAAGGCTGGGCTGTGTGGTAGGGAGGGCCGGAGATCCAGTCTCCTGTTCCATCCTCTCGTTCAGCCCCCCCCCTCTTCTTGGGAACAGTCTCAAAGAGAACAATTACATAAAGAGGTGATCAGAACCAGCCTCTCAGGCAAGGTGGCTGGCTGTCCACGTGAACAGGAAGTAGCGAAGGGCACAGAATTCAGCCCCGGGCTTATATCACCTCTGAAAGCATTTGCCCAGTGCCTAAGGAGCCCAGCTGTAGTGAAGGCTGAGAGTAAAGACAATTGAGTTGTTGGTGTCTACATGTTAGAGCTGGGCTCTGATGAATGGGAAGCCGGTGGAAAGGGGGCAGGATCCTCCTGGCTGGTGTCTGGTTCCAGAAAGCAGTCTGCGAAAGCACAGTGCTGGGAGAAATGCCCTCCTCCTCTTTGAAGACTCGTCTTAATCCAAATCAAGTGTGTGTGTGTGTGTGTGTGTGTGTGTGTGTGTGTGTGTGTGTGTGCGCGTGCACTCTCCTGAGAGTGCATGTGTGTGTGCAGGTGCCCGCCGAGGTCGGCAGAGGGTGTTGGATTCTCCAGAGCTGGAGTTGCAGGCAGTTGGGAGTCACACTATGTGGGTCTTGAGAACTGAACTCCTGTCCTCTCCAAGAGTGCGTTGAGCCATCTCTCCAGCCCCTCTCTGTCACTTCTTGAAGAGCAGGGCTGCCCAAGGGGTGGAGGATGGCCAGGGCTGCTGGAACTGAGGGGGCAGGAACAGAACAGGGCGTTTTTTACCTTTAGCCTCATGGTGGGAGGTCACCACTGTTCCCAGATGTTCTTAATAATCTGTGGGGCATGAGCTCATGATATGCTAAGTTGGAAAGCTATTCAGAGATCTCTCAAGTTTAGCTTATGGAATCTACATAGATGAAATTTTCCTTGGTACCTCAACCTAATAATATTGGCTTCTAGCATGAAAAGAGGGCTGAAGGAATGCAGATTCGGGATTCTCAGTTTGGTGCATCCAAATAGTTCTATGAAACTCAGCTCATAAACTGTGATCAGTCCCAGCCCCTTTACAAGTCCAGAGGTCGAGTCTCGGGTCCTGAAAAGAGAGCTGATCTTTCTTAGGGCTGCCCCATGTATCAGCAAGTGGGCTGGGGCTAGAGCTTGGAGAATTTGTTCCAGGGATACAGGACACTCCTAGCCCTTGGAGAATTTGTTCCAGGGATACAGGACACAGCCTTGGGCCAGCCCACGGGGGTAAAGCTGTGGGACACAGAGGCCACAGATTCAGTGACCGTCCCATAACTTCTCTACAGCAAAGCTCATTGTGGAGACGGATACTTTTGGGAGCAGAGTTCGAGTCCGGGGAGCAGAGACAGGTCTCTACATCTGCATGAACAAGAAGGGGAAGCTAATTGCCAAGGTGAGGTTCCAGAAGGGCAGTGGGACTTGGGGAGGTGGTGTGGACTGACTGAACCCCTCTGGCACACTTTAATCTCAACAAGGTGAGTGGAGAGACATGGTCCCTTGGTTACCTTAGGGTTTGTCTAATGATTAGATGGAGGAGAAAGAGGGAAGTAGAAAGCCAGAGAGAGGAAACCCTATGAAGATGAAGAAGGAAGGCCAGGAAAAGGGTTGGGGGTGGTGATGGCAAATTCCATATATCTTTTTAACAAATCGCCAAATTGCTTTGCTATTATGTCCAATTACATGGTACCAGCATTTGGAATGTTCAGTAAGCCGCAGGCCCAGCCCCTCGGCCTAGCTCTGAAATGGCCCCATTAGTCACGGCTCCTCTCCAGCCTCAAGCTCCCTGCTCCTAGGCTTCAAGGCTTGGGCCTCAGAGTCCCTCCCGGGCCTCCCCTCCCCCGCATAGGGTGGCTGTCCTGGGGGCTGATCCTGAGTCCGGAGATGCTGAGGGGGGCAGGTGGAGAAACGCGGGCAGCCGGGGCCAGACTGGTGGGCAGTAGGCCAGAACAGGCAGGCTTTGGGCCCCTCTGCCTCGGGCCCAGCCCCTCCGTAGACAGCCATGTGTCACTGCTGCCCAGGAGGACAGGAAGTTGCCGGGTGGGCTGCGGGTTGTGAGGGATTAGAGAGCGGGTGCCCGGGTAGGGGGTGGGGCCGGGCTCGGGCTCCCCTCGCCATCTGCTGGGGTGCCCACCTGCTGTCTGGGGCCGCTGGCCCTCTGTCTCACATGGAGGGAGGCTCGGTAACACCGCGTCTGCTCCCCTCCTCCCCAAACGACCTGCAGAGCAACGGCAAAGGCAAGGACTGCGTGTTCACGGAGATCGTGCTGGAGAATAACTACACGGCGCTGCAGAACGCCAAGTACGAGGGCTGGTACATGGCCTTCACCCGCAAGGGCCGGCCCCGCAAGGGCTCCAAGACGCGCCAGCACCAGCGCGAGGTGCACTTCATGAAGCGGCTGCCGCGGGGCCACCACACCACCGAGCAGAGCCTGCGCTTCGAGTTCCTCAACTACCCGCCCTTCACGCGCAGCCTGCGGGGCAGCCAGAGGACTTGGGCCCCGGAGCCCCGATAGGCGTCCTCCCGGCCCCTCCCCGCCCGCCCGCCAGCCCAGCCCGCAGCGGACTCCAGCGAGAGATCGGCCGGCCGCGCGGCCAAGGGGAGGAGCTGGGGAGCTGCCTTCTAGTTGTGGATACTGTTTGCTGTTGGGTTTTTTGTTTTTGTTTTTTAACAAAAGAGAGGCTCTATTTTTGTATTCCACTGGCTGTGGTGTCTTGTCTTCTTAGCTCTCGGAAGAGCCCCTTGGTGACCTGAGACTGGGTTCCCGGGGGCCTCCCTAGGGTGGGTGGAGGGCTCTCTGGTCTGGCAGATGTTCTCCTGAGGTCTCAGCACTGGCCGGGCACCTGGCCGGGCCAGGCAGGGCCACTCTGTACCCCAGGCAGGGGCAGGGAGCAAAAGATTGGGCCTAGGTCAGCCCCTTAGGGGTGGGTGTCAGTGGGGTGGGTGTGTACTAGTTACTATTAAATGACTGAAATGTTTATTTAACTTGTATATTAGAAATGTGTGTTGGAGAATGAGTCCTGCCAGGGATAGCCCCTTCCCATGGCGCCTGTCCCAACGGCAGGTCCAAGGCCACCCTCCGTCTAAGGACCTCCTGGTTGCCATCTTTCCCCTTTACTCCCCGGGAGGGATATTGCGGGGAAGACAGAACAGTGAAGAAAAAATGGAAAGGTTCTCAGCTGGCCTTGGAGCTCTCAGATGAGGAGCACCTTGCTCTTAACACTTACCAAGCCCAGGGCCAAAATGAAGAAGAGGTTGGAGCCCTCTGTGGTTGGGGTAGCAAACCCCATTGGCCCTAGTCAGAGACTGTAGAACTGGTCATAGTCTATAGCGTCTGACCCCCAAACTGAAACAGAGCTGCTGCCCAGTGTCCAAGGTGTTAGGGAGGTGTGTGGGGGTGTGGGGGGGGGCAAGGGAGTAGATGGGACTGCCAAGGCTGGTGTTGACCGTTGTGATGCGGAACAAAGTTAACTTTGGGAGATCCAGGCCAGAGCTGTGAACAGAAAGTGCCAGGCTCAGGTGCTGAAAAGCCTAGGGCACGATTGTGCTGGAAGAGGCCAACCTGGGGGACCTGGGTCTTCAGAAAGAAGAGCTAGGCATGGGCAGGAGTCGGAGGAAGGCTTTGGGGATCAGCCTCATGTCACACCAAGGAGGCTCAGAAGCAGGACTCCTGTGCCCAGAGCTGGCCCACTCTTCATGACAGGCCTTCCATCCTGGCTGCTCCTATAGCCCAGCTACTAGGACAATCTGGAAACTTCTTCCCCGTGGGCCTCTTTCTGAAACCCCACTTGGCATGGGTTGGGGCAGCCAAAGGCTTTCTAACCATGGGGGCATTCCAGACTTGTAGCCTACGTCCCAGGCTCAGCCTTTCCAGGTGGATCAGGATTGCCAAGCAGTCCACAGGGGAAACAGGCTGGGGTCCTCAGTCCCTGTCTACCTCATCCCAAGGCCTACAGAGAATAGCGAAGGCCTCTGGATAGAGCGGTCTTTCAGGTGCACAGACACTGGGGGGTATGGAGAAGGGGCTCCAGCTTGCTCCCTTCCAGCTCCTCCAGCTCCTGGTGCCCCGTCCTCTGCTCCCCTCCCCCTTTAATTAATTCTGGGTGAGCAGCCTGGCTTTATTGTGCGCGGAGCTGGGGTCTCACTGTGGGAAAAGTCACACCTTCTGAACAGCTTCTGATGCCATGCAAATGAAGAGACCGTGCAGGAAACGCTTTCATCTGCACGGTCGCCTGTCCAGCCCCCAGCCCAGTAATTACCCACATTTCATTTGTTTGAGAGCAATTCCTGGGGAAAGCCATGGGGTGGGAGGGAGTCTAGGGGGTGACGGAATGTCAGGCTCTCCGCCTGTGATCCTGGCTACAAAGCGAGGCCTGGCCGGGCCAAGGGTGGTGGGTGGGTGGCTAGGCCAAAGCTAAGCCTCACGCCTCTGGGCGAGGAGCACCTGAGTCTTCAGAGGTACCTCTGGGACGGGGCTGAGTTTGCAGCTAAGTAGAAGACATGAGCACTTAAGAGGGTCAGACTCGCCTTGCCGGGGAGAGGCCAGAGAGCTGGGCAGGAGGGTGGGAATCGGCTGAGGCTGTCTGAAGCCTTCCCCCAGGCCAGGGACCCATGGGAGCTGAGCACAGAGCGGTAGGGTGAAGCCAGGCTGGAGCACCCACCAATTTGTTTATCTTTGAGTCGCTGCCTCTACAGAGCAACCACTAATGGGGTTTTACAGCCCACTCAAGCTGCAACTGGCCAAGAATCAATCATTACCACACTTAGTGGTTTGATAGTTAACAGCCTGAACTGAAGCCAAACTGGTTGTTAACTGTGATAGCAACTGATTTCAAGGGGTTATTGCTGGCCCAATATGCTCAGCCATTTATTCTGGGGAAAACAAGCAGGGGGCTGTGGCAAGGCCCAGAAAGGGGAGGAGGACTGGGCTGTGCTCAGCTAAAAGGCAGACTGACCGCTCTGCCCCTGGGTCAGCTGCGGGACGGTCGAGGTCTGTGTGGAGGCTTAACCACGCGGCGTTATCCCTGAGGGCTGTATGTGGCCAGGAGTCAGGTCTCTTCATTCCGCCAGTAAGAGATCCTGCCTTGATTCTTCCTTTTTTCACATGCCCATTTTTTTTTTTTTCAAATGGGGTTTCATTTAACCTGGGCTAGCATCGGCCTTGTGTAGTCTCCTAGCCTTGACCTCCAGGTGCTTCTCCATGTGCCTCTGAAGCATTGTGTCTCTAGTGTGCTCCCATGATGCCCCCCCAGTGACAGCTTCCACAGGAGAAGCCCAGCTTAGTGGCCTCTACTCAGCAGGTAGAGGCTGGACCCCTCACCTCAGAAACTTTCTTTTCATTTCAAAGCCACCAAAGACCCAGCCCAGGTCTTGACTGGAAGGAAGGAATGAGCACTGTCTCTTCTCACAGCAACAGGAACACCCCACATTCTAGAAGGCCGCTGTGGTAAAGGACCTAGGGCCTCTCCACTCTCTCCAGATGGACAACTGTAGCTCAGCATGTCGAAACTAGAACATTCCAGGCCCAGGCCGCCTCTGGAGAACCGTAGGTCTCATCCTAACACCATTCATTCAGTCAATAAATAGTTGCTGAGGGCCTATTATATGCTTGACTCTATTCTGGGCAGAGGGGATAGAGCAGGAAAACAAAATCAAGAACACAAAACAAAAACCTGAAAATCCCCATTGTTATGTCCTCAGCTTCTGGAGGGAGGCAGGAGGGGGCAGGCCCACAACCCACGGGACAGTATCAGACACATATTCAGAGAAGGGGATGAGTGTGAAGAGCACTGACTGGCGAGAACAGCATGATCAAAGAGAGCCTCGCTGATGACTTCGTGTTTGAACAGACACCTGTCGGGCCGAGGCTCCCGGGCGGGGGAGGGGCACCCAGGCAGAGGAGCAGCCAGCTAACAAAAATAGAGGGGACTAGGAAAGGGACCGGTGTGGCTAGAACACGGGTCAGGGAAGACAGAGGTGTGTGTGTGTGTGTGTGTGTGTGTGTGTGTGTGTGTGTAGGGGGCTAGAGGAGGCTAGAATACTGAGTTGAGACCGGAGAGATGGCAAGACCTGGGTGGAGGGCAGGCAGATCCTGAGGGCTTGGTTGGAGGGACTTCAGCTTTGCCTCCGTGAGGTGGTACCCCGTTGTGAGGTTAGAGCCGCCAAGCACTACGTGAAGGCAGGTTTTAACAAGATTGCTTTGGCTGCTGTGTTAAGAACAGACAGTGGGGGGCATGGGGGCCGGTCCACACAACAGGGAGAAGCTAAGTGATTGATAATAGTGGATTGGGAGAGGTGGGAAGCGAGTGGAATTTGGTGGGGTTTTTTGTTGTTTTTTGGCGGGGGTGGGGGTGGGGGGTGGGGGCAGGATCTGCAGGTGGGTTTGGATATGGTTTGGGTGGGAAGACAAGGTGCCTAGGGCTGCCTGAAGGCCTGAGCACCTGGAAGAATGGAGATGCCATTTGCTGAAAAGATTCCAGGTGGGGCCAGTTTACAGGGAGGATTGGGAGTCTGAGCTTGGACCTGTGAAGTTTGAGCTGACTCAGTATTCCAGAGGAAGCAGGGAGTGGGCAGCTCCTTGAGTCTGGAATTCCAGGGTGAGGTCTCACTCTTGTGGTAGAATAGGGGTGCTGAACACAGGTGATGTCCAACACCAGGAGACAGAACAGAGCCCTGGGGAGTGGGGAGCTAAGAGTGAGGAGATCCATGCTGGAGTCGCGAGCCTCAGAGTGCTTCTCCAGCTGGAAGGGAGAGGGAACAGGGGCAAAGATGGAGGAAGTGTGGCTCGCAGGGGACCCAGAAGACTGCCACATCCTGATGAAGCAGGAGACAGGGCAGTGTCAGAGTCTACAGTTGTTAGTGAAGGTAGGAAGTTTATTGTCCGTCTGCCTCTACCCCTACAAACCCAGAGCCAGGAAGTGGCCAAAACCAAGAATCACCTCATCTGGATTCCTCCAACAAACTGAGTTCTGCCTCACTTCGAAGGTCCTGCTGGCTTCCCTTCCAAACATCCTCTCAGCCAGTCTGAACAATGGCCTGCCTGTCACTTGCTGCCACTCTGCTCCAAGTCATCTCTGCCTTTTTTGTCTCACCATGTAAGATGAGTCACTATGTAGACCAAGCTGGCCTTGAACTCATGGAGACCCTCCTGTCTCTGTCTCTGTCTCTCAAGTGCTGGGATTAAAGGCAAGTGCTACCATATCTGGCCACCACCTTTTTATCTTGAGGCAGGGCCTCTTGCTGAACCTGGAGCTTGCTGTCGCTGAGCTCCCAGGATCTACTCATCTCTGCCACCACTCCCCAGCCTGAGTGCCAGGTCTGCAGCGCTCTACCTGGCTTTACCTGAGTGCTGGGGATCTGAACAGCAAGCATTTCACTCACTGGAGGTCTCTCCAGGCCTCCATCCTCAGTTCTTCCATACTGACAGCCTCTGCACACAGCTGCTTTCTCTGGGCTCTCTCGTCCCCCTTCCATCCCCTCTGCACTCAGTCACTGGAATTTTCAAAACTCAGGTCTGACTGTGTTACTCCCACACTGGCCACACTGGAATTCCAGCTCCCGCCCACGGCCTGCATCGTCTCCTGTGTGCCCGGGCCCTGATCTGCCCCTCTAATCCACGTGCTGGCCGGCCACCCTCCCCATCACCTGCTCCATTCCCACCCTGACTCTTTAGTCTCTTCCCAGCCCCTCACGCAGGCTAG